AGACAGACAGACAGACAGACAGACAGACAGACAGACAGACAGACAGACAGACAGAAAGGAAAAAGACAGAGAGAAGGACACAATATGATAACAGCTTTTTACCACCTAGTTTACAAAATGACTCACAAATGCGTACGTTTTTCTACCAGGCACAAGAATCGACATGACAGTTCCTGTACTTATGAAATTCGAAGATCTTCAGAACGGTCAGTTCAGAAAAACCATGTTATTCTACCTCGCCATTCCCAACCCCCCAAACCCGTCTAATGGTGACGTTTTCCTCGAAACCGTGCCAGCCAACACCAACTTCATGGTCAGGTGAGAAAACAAGAGTTTTTCATCTGTCCATCCATCCATCCATCCATCCATCCATCCATCAATCCATCCCATCCCATCCATGAATGACTGTTTGACAAGCTTTGTTTATATCTACCTTTCTACTCGTACATATCTAAGTGCTTGTCTACCTCTCTCTCCTCTATCTCTCTATTTTTTTCTCCTGACTCTCTCTCTCTCTCGCTCTCTTTCTCTCTCTCTCTCTCTCTCTCTCTCTCTCTCTCTCTCTCTTTCTCTCTCTCTCTCTCTCTAGACATGAGACGCATAGCCATTTAGAATAAAGATATTTTAATCCATCTACCATCTACCAGAGTATAAATATAAACCAATCTCTACTCCTTCTTTTTTTGTATTTGTGACTCTCGTGTAACACATCTAATCTTTGGCAATTGTATCCCGATCTAATTGTGTTGCAAGTTCCTTAAAACGTTTGCTAAAGCAATCAAATGCTCTTCACCAGGTCATGGCGTACATTCTTCTGGGCAACTACAAGGTCCTACAACGACAACATGGACGCTCTAAGGGACGCAATCGGGAGCTCAGCGTCCGTCAAACCAAACCTTTTTTACAGAGTTAGTTATGACTCCCCCATGACTTTTGGCCGACACAACGAAGTTTGGCTGGAACCACAATAAAATCTGATCAAGACTCTTAATACTCAATGCCCGTTACTGAAAGTTTCGTGAAATCCCTCTTTGACATGGTTTGACACATTACAATTCGAGATGGTGCTGGCCGGTGTACACTACATACATTCACGATATCATTATCAGATCGACGTCTGTTTTGCTTCATCACATTTGGCAGTCCATTAGAGCTTATAGCATGCCTCTCACAAACAAAAGATCTGACCACCTCCCTCTTTTTCATAACGCGCAGTAGCCTTCTGATTGAATATTTTTATCAAACGTGTACTGATCTAGAGAATCAATATTTGATTTTGGAGGATTTGATCGAATTTGTGCTCAAATGGTAACTTTTACCACTCCATGAAAGAAATCTTGATCGCTATAATTTAATGTATCAACGTTCAAATTGGAGATTTGACGAAACTTACTGCAGTGTGCCCTGGGTCAAACTTCCCTGGACAACACTCATAAATCCGGATCACGACACTGTTTTGCTTCTTAATTCCTTCCTCGACATTCCTCAACTTGTGTTGTGAATGGTGAATTCCTTGTGTATGCCGAACAACAGGCACAAACTGGGAGAACATTTTAATGTTCTATATTGTAATACTGTTTATCTTGACTTTTGTTCTATTGTTGGGACAAGATCTCAAGTGAAAACGGGAAAATCTAAATCCATCTGTCTCTTTATGTACATAATGTTGCTGTCGTTGTTTCTGTGATTTTAAAAAGTTGTTTTCACTATACACGGCGGAAGTGTTTGTTTATATAAATGAGAGAGAGAGAGAGAGAGAGAGAGAGAGAGGGGGGGGAGGGAGGGAGGGAGGGAGAGAGAGAAAGAGGGTGAGAGAGAGAGAGAGAGCAAGACAGAAAGAAAGGCAGAGAGAGAGAAAGAGAGAGAGAGAGAGAGAGAGAGAGAGAGAGAGGGAGAGAGAGAGAGAGAGAGAGCAATACAGAAAGAAAGGCAGAGAGAGAGCAAGACAGAAAGAAAGGCAGAGAGAAAGACCACGAAACGCTTTGTTCTATTCTGTTGAATGCTCAGATTTCACTTCTGATATGTGACAAATAAAAATGATGTAAAACGCAAATATGACTTTCCCAGTTTTTTCATATATACAAAACACATGCAGAACTCTATGTAATCTGTATCAACAGTTTGTTTTAAAAAAAACACTTTTAATTTGGAGTTTAAAGAATTAAACAATCAAAAACATAAACCGGGTGGTTGGCGGGTGCTCTGGTGTGGTTTGCTCCTTTTTTCTTATCAATCATCTATCGTCCTTATCTCTCCTACTTCCTTCTTTTTTGTGTACGTTACTCTCTTGTAACACATCTATTCTTGAGCACTTAGATCTATATGTGAGGCAGTGTGGTGGAATCAGGCTCTCGTCAAAGTGAACAAACTTGCATTTTTCCGCAGGTTTGTGAATTTTAATCAAATTTTTGTCTTTGCCTCAACACCTTTCTTTGCAATATAAAGAACTCATTTATGTGCAGATTTTTCTGAAAAACGTTGAGGCACAAAATATGAAAATTTCAGTTACCGTGGACTCTTAGGAAATAACTAATCTTTGGCGGCCATTTTCTCACTAATTTTACCTCCGAAAACAGGTGACCCCCCACCCCCCTTCTTTCGCAAATATCTCGACTTGTATTCAAGATAAATGGATGTTTGTGCGACGTGCTGACAAAATGAGTTACTTATCGCAATTCGCAAATTGTAATGGAGATATTGGGCAAAAATCGATATTAGGGTCAAGCTGATAGGTTTTCTATTTAAGCCGTATTATTTAAGTATGCCATGTCTTCTATTATTTCTTACTTACACATTGTAAAAACTTCATCTACTTGCGTAAGGTATCTTATTTCCATTTGGCTTGATGAATCCGAGAAGTGACCCATTTTATCAGCACCCTTCACATTTTTTTTCATCCAAATAAAGACAAGTGAACAAGCTTTAAAGTGATACCAATAACTCTATATGTCCAAAAATTGACGAGAGCCTGATTCCATCACGCTGCCTCACAAATGACCTTTTTAGGTTGCAAGTGCCGTAAAACCCTTATGAAAACTAAAACTTAGAATATCTTGTGTGCACCTCTCTTCATGCCATGTCGAGGGATCCGGTCATATTAGCAAAGAGATGTAACTGCGCCACGAAATTAATCTATGTTGTCTGACAAAGGGAAGGTTTCGAGCTCGTATTGTAATCTAGATGTCTTAGGCCCCCACCAACACAGTTTAGAACATTTAGGAGGTGGGCAGCTTGGAATCCCAGCCTGAGGTGGATGCACCGTCCCAGCAGACGCCACAAATGAAGTACTTTTAAAACAGTCGTTCTCAACTTTTTTCAATTGTCATACCCAAACCCCGAAATAAAGTAATAAACAAACCCTTTAACCCCCCCCCCCCCACCCCACCCCCCAAATGCGTACAATCCAGCAGCAGACAATTAATAATACCTACGTAACATAGTTAATACAGACTGTACCTTTGATGTTTCAAATCAATCTAATTTCAAGCAAATATAAGTCGAGAAAAAGGAGAGCACACATACACACACACACACACACACACACACACACACACACACACACACACACACACACACACATACACACACACACACACACACACACATACACACACACACACAGTGATAGAAAAAATAAACTAGTGACAGGGCTGTGCCTGTGTTTTGAAATTCTCGGGGAAGTCTTAGATAAAGCAAGGCACATATCATCAGCAACAGCTAGCTTGTTCCTTGCTTTTGTCTTGAGTTGGACAAGGGTAGAAAATCCACTTTCTCAAAGGTAAGTCGAGGCAAATGGGACAATGACTCAAAGTGCTGTTTTGCTGACCTGAGGGTATGATTCCTGGAGTGAACGCCAAAACAGTACTGCGCAAGAGATTTCTCAAGAAACGTGTCGCTTGCTGACGAATCATGTCTCAATTCCAAAAGCTCGTTTTTAATGACATCTGCAATTACAGTGATATCTAGTCCAGGAGTGAAAGGGTTTCCCACAAAAGCTTCTTCACCACTGTCAAGGTCAGGAAAATAGAGGGGCTAGTTCTTGAACGCATCTTCAAGTGATTTCAAATGTGCAGCAATGTCAACTTGAAGATCAGTAGACAAGGTCTCCTCTGGATTTAACAGCTCTGTGAAATGTTGGTAAGCATAGCAATGTTTCCCTCTGTAACTTTCCGGTCCCAATTCTGAATTTTTTAAAAATAAAGCCACTCAGAACGTCTTTAAACCGTACAAAGTTTGTCTGTTGACCTTGAAGTTTCAATTTGATTTTGTAGAGGAAGTCAAACATATCAAACATAATACTATAGGCAAGTTTTTGAATCCACAAATCATTTGAGAAGAGCCTGCTGAGCTCATCTTTTCCTTGCACTTCAAGGAAGAACTTGATCTGATCTCCTCTCTCAGCTCGAAGACCCGAAATACACCGTTTCCTTTCGATAACCATCGAACTTGAGTGTAGATAAGCAGTGTTCCATGATCTGCACTCATGTCAGAACAGAGTTCCTTGAACAGTCGTGTACTTTGGGGGCTGCACTTCACATACTTGACAACCTTAACAGTCGATTCCAACGTTTCCTTCGAAGTGCGATTGAGTCTTGCAAGCTAGTGCATATCTATGTGTTATGTAGTGAATGTCTTTTGCGGGTGGTGCTTTGTCTTTCACTTTTTCCTGAAAGCCCAACTTAGATCTCTTCATGGCTGGCGGGGCTCCATCAGTACAAATACCGCACACATTCTTCCACTCAAGACTCAAGACCCTCGTTTAAAAAAAATTAGGATATCTTGTTAATGACATCATCAGCTGTTGTTGTGGTGTCCAGTGGGGTGCAAAACAAAAATTCTTCTTTATTCATATTTTTTCAAACACATATCTCACAAAAACCAGTAACTGTTATCACGATGCCACATCAACTGATTCGTGAAGCTGGAACGAGAACATGGGGGGAAGCTTTGATCTCCTTTACAACCTGTTCTTAATGTTTGAAGACATGCGTGCAATACGCCTCTTGACAGTATCACTCGAAAGGGGAACTTGCTGCAATTTCTTGCACTAGCCTCACCTAACATCAGTGTGCCATCTTTATTGTGCCAAGCTTTATAACTGTTTCTTCAAATTGAGGGTGGTTTCTTTTTTGCTGTTGCTATTTCTCTCTCTCTCTCTCTCTCTCTCTCTCTCTCTCTCTCTCTCTCTCTCTCTCTCTCTCTCTCTCTCTCTCTCTCTTCCAATTTTTTAAAATCTCCTTTGTCAAATTTCCTGACATAACCGTTACTGTGTGTTTATTGTTCTGCCATGCAACAACATAGCTGTATAATTTATAGATTTTATTTCTCAGCTAGGCCTATGATCTTATTAGAGATGACAAGCTATAGATGCCTACAAGGAATTACAAAGAGACAATAATTGAATAAGAGTTTCCGTGATAATTATATTTTTACAGTGACATCCCTTGGGCGTGGGTTAAATCTACGCCAGGGCCTAGGTGTACAGAAATTAAGCTCACGCGAGACAGGTTAGGATGAAAATATGTATGACTACCATTACCATGCTTCCCCCTGTGAACCCCTTCTCTGAAGCCAGCACTCATATGGCTCGTCATAAACGAGGCTTCAAGCTATTCTGCATTGGCCTATGGCGAGGCTAAAATATTGAAAGAACAGAAAACACTGAAAACCAAACCTATGGTTGGCCCAGATAAACAGGCAGGGCAAACTGGAGTCGCCTTGTTGTTTCCCTGGCCTTGTTTAGAAGTTCAGGTGTTTACCCTTTTTCTTCTTTCAACCAATTGAAGAGGGAACCGTATTTTGACAATTGCCAGGGAAAGGAAAAGATCAATGTTTTACTTTTCACAAAATCCTCAATGATTTCGCGACCCCCCCCCCCCCCCCCCCAGAATGGTCTCGCGACCCACAGTTTGAGAACCCCTGTTTTAGAAGGATAAGAAAAGCAAAATCTTACCCGACCTGGACTTAAACC